GAGACAAGGTGAGGCTGAATGGGGGGGGGAAGGGGGGGGGAGGAGGGGAGGCTGAGGCAGGCTGAGGCCGAGGCAGGCTGAGGCCGAGGCATGCTGAGGCTGAGGCTGAGGCAAGTCGAGGCAGGCTGAGGCTGAGGCTGAGGCTGAGGCTGAGGCTGAGGCTGAGGCTGAGGCTAATGCAGGCTGAGGCTGAGGCAGGCTGAGGCTGAGGCTGACGCAGGCTGAGGCCGAGGCAGGCTGAGGCTGAGGCTGAGGCAGGCTGAGGCCGAGGCCCAGGCAGGCTGAGGCTGAGGCTGAGGTAAGCCGAGGCAGGCTGAGGCTGAGGCTGAAACTGAGGCAGGCTGAGGCATCCGTAGGAATACATAGGAATCCTTAGGAATCCCTAGGAATTCTTAGGAATCCGTAGGCATCCTTAGGAATCCGTAGGCATAGTTAAGCATCCTCAGGAATCCTTAGGAATCCTTAGAATTCCCTGGGAATCCTTAAGAATCCCTAGGAATCCCTAGGAATCAGGATTACTAAGGATTCCTAAGGTGTCCTAAGGATTCCTATGGATTCCTAAGGATGCCTAAGGATGCCTTAGGAATCCTTAGGATTCCATTGGATCCTAAGGCCGTTGCCACTGCGACTGTCATTGCGAATGCGACTGCGACTGCGAGAACAGCAGAATTCTACAACTGGATTATCACCTGAATCTTAAGGGGAATGCTTCCAGATATGCTGATACACATCGCTGTTAGGTTGCTTTGCCGGGATAATTCCTCCTCCCCACTCTCACTGTTCTCCGTTGCTGAGCGTGCAGCTTAATTGCACGCTCAGCAAGTTGGAATCAGACAATCGGTGGCGGCGAGCCCAATGGGTAAAGGCTCGGAAGGCCTTCGGCCGTCTGAGAAGTTTCCTAAGCTTTCTTCGAAGACACAGACGGCTTCTCAGAAGGCCGGGGGGTGTTTGAGAAGCCCCGCCGCCCTGGGAGAAGGCCTGCCCCTTCTCACTTTGAAACGTCCCTGTCCAATCTTTACCATGGAAACCCGTACCAAGGAACACCCTGCTTGACCAGGGTGCCCTGAGTTTCCTGGGTTTCGATGGTTCTGCTATGGAGAGCGTGACGTCCCCGCACCAATATCAGTGGACGTCCAGAGGTCTCAGGGTTGGGTTTCTTGTGGAAGGTTTCTTGTGGTCGAGCTCCTACTGTATCCATATCAACCGCCTGTGCAGGTCCGCGAAGATCGATCCCCCAGGTCCCCGAGGCGGTGGTCATTGATACGTCCTCGCCTCGGCTCTCGGGCCGTGCCTGCTCCCGCGGGGTCATGCTGGAGCCGCATCCGGGGGAAGAGCTGTTACCCAACGCCGTCTTGCCCTCCCCCGCAGAGGGCCGCAGTCTTGGGACCTACAGAAGGAGGAGGAGGAGGAGGAGGAGGAGGAGGAGGAGGACGTGGAGGAGGAGGAGGGAGGAGGAGGGAGGAAGAGGGAGGAGGTAATAGTAATAATACTAGTCATCTCACAAGAGCGATTGTACGTGAGCCTGTCGAATCAGCCTGAAGGGGGAGACAATTGCACAGGGGCTCATACGCTGAGAGACGCGCGACTGTATGGGGGGTGACACGAGCTAAGCCCACCGACGACAGTACACGCAAGCCCTGAATCAGCACACAACTTAAGACGGGGGATGAGACTGTTGGAATCGGCGTTGGGTTTCCTGGAAACGTGTCGAAAAACACGCCATCATTCACACTGAGCGGAGGAGGAGGAGAGGGAGGAGGAGGACTTGGACGAGGGGGAGACCCGTAGCACGGCTGTCGGCGGCGAGGGCCTGGAACATCGACATCTGGATCGGGGCTCAGGCCTGATCGTCGAGCTCGTCGATCGCCGTCTGGATCCTGCGTTCGAGATCTCCTAGTGGCGCCACTCCTTCGAGCTTCACTGCTTTCGAACGAATCCGAAGTGGTACGGTGACTTGCTGGAAGCAGATGTCGCTGTCGCAATTGGTCACCACGTTCGCCTCGAGGCGCTTGATCTTGTTGTCGTATGTCTTGCAGCAGCGTGCGTAGCGAACTTCTTTCATCAGCGTGTGAAGGTATTCCTTCGAGTCCGTCGATCCATTCTTCTTCTTGGCGATGTAGGCGTCGAGGTTCGACGCTTGTGGTGGATTGAGGTCTTTCTCGGCGAGCTCTTTCTTGGCGGCCATGAGCCAAGCGTTCCAAACGTGAACGTGAGGATGGGCGTGGGCTGCGATCTTCTGTTGCTTCTGGTCTTTCCCAAAAGTCTTGGCCGCCTCCGCATAGCTTTCGGTATACTTTCTCCCCTGGGCGAAGTACTCGGAGCTCTCGCTCACCTGATATTTGTCCAATCCGATTGCCCTGGTCATCTTTGGCGACATAGCAGTACTGAGGGCCAGCTTGGCGATGAGAAGAACGAGTGCTGCGAGGTCGTGCTGACTTTGGCTCCTGCGGCGCTCCGTCTGTGGCGAACGAGGCGAGCTCACTGCGAGGCCGAGGTCCATCTGCTGCCACAGCCGCACGAGTAGATATGCAATTAGATGTCGTGAAGTCGAGGCGTCTTGGATCAGACAGATGCTGAGTACTGATACGATGATTTCAGACGTAGATGTTATCGCATTCGTAGGTGTTGCCATATATGTTTGCAGAGAGGACATGCGTATGTCATGTCGGAAACGATGGGGGCGAAAGAAGATATTTGGTCAATTTTGCATCTGCCATAGTGCCAGCTTCTGCGTGCATGTTCTTGTGTTATCCTTCGTGTAGGGAAATGTGTAGAGCACCAGGGACGTACAGCTGCAAGTACTATGGGGTCTAGCGTAATCATACCATGCACAGATTGTTCACGCGCACGGTGTAGCTTTAGAGCTTTAGGTGTATGGAAGGTCGGTGTGCAGAGCTTGCCATCAGGTAATGAAGGCGAGGTCGGTGACCGGCAATACTATTCGCCTGTAGGTAATGAACATGATGATGCAGTAGGCTGTAAGGTGTTTTGGTCATAATGGTTTGGGGGGATGTTGACAGAAAGAAAGTATGATCGTAATTCAGACACAATAATCTCGAGAACATCGTCACGGAACGTGCCTGCCTCGATCAGCTGCAACGGGGAAGTGTTCTCGAGAAAGTACGCACATTCCAGCAACGAGAGGGCATTGATGTCTGTCTGCAATTGTTGAAGCCACAGATGGTCAGGTGGTGTCCCTGGGGAATCCTGGCAAATCGTCCGAACATTGTGGCGATATGCGATATAGATTAAGCCGTTGAATTCTGAGCTCAGTAGTCGTGTCAGCTAGACCGATAGTGCGCCATACTTCAATGGTGGGAATAAGCTTATATTTGATATTTCCGTCGTCGAGTGGGGTCTTGATGGTTGCCGTGCCTTTCATGAGCTTGCGTGTGCGATATATGATGTACTGTTTACACATGTGTAGACATGTTCAGTTAGAGCAGAAGCGGTAAGTCCAGAAAATAATGCGGACCAGATTGTACATCGACACACCAGTGCGCCAAAACGAAGATCAGTCTTGGTAAACCAGTACCGCCTGAAAATCCGCCATTCTTTCGTAGCAGCCTGGAGTCGTAGGTTTCTTTCAGCCAAGAAACAGCTTGGTAGTGTAAATAAGGCCCAAGATAGCGTGCTGCGCTAAGTACTTTACATTGTGCTTGCTGTTCGTGAACCATACGCTGGTATGTGTGCGCGTTCGTGCCAACGAACTGCACAGTAGACTCGCTATTGCCCGTCTGCTGCGCTATGGTGTACTACACGACTATACTGTCGAGTCGTACGTCGTGATTTTCCTGTGTACTATGTAAGTTCGTAGGCGTAGTGATGCCATACTGTTTACATAGATCGTCGGCGAAGGAGGTGATGGCTAAGTCGATGATGTCGGTGTTGAGAGGCGATGGAACAAGTAAGTCAGGATCTTGTGTTTCCAGGCTCCAATGCCCAACAGCTTTCCAGTATGGTATGTGAAAGTCATTGGTAGCGACGCTATTGCTTTGAAACGTGCCACTGCAGGGGCAACACTCGGCGGGCACGTCTGATGTCTGTAAAGTACATGTAGAATGGCGATGCCGTTGGCGTTGTAGGCGTTCGTCCTGTTCAGCATCGTGAAGAAGATGTGCGTCTTCTTCGTTTGGGAAATCGTCATCGGGCTGAGACAGCATAAGCGTCTGCGTTGCAGAATCCATGATATCGTGAGAGGGACAAGCGAAGGCATTGACCACGTCGTAGTGAAGATTGGTGATGCTAAGACCAAGTTTAGAACAACGATGCGACACCACAATGTTTGCAATAATAGCTTCTTCACGGCGGCGCCCTGGAACTGCAAAGGCATGGTGTGGTGGTGGTCGGCGATGTTTGACAGGACGACATCGTAGACCTCAGTGATATGCTTTCGAAACAAACGAAATGCTGTGAATGATGTGGACGTCATCTTTGTAGGGGGATCTGAAAACCTTGATTGCGGTGAAATTAATATGGGCTGTGGCCTGTTGCGCGTGTCGTCTCGCTAATCTTCTGTAGGCGTGTCAAGAGCTCGTGTGGTTCAAATGGAGATGCGTCGTGACCAACTTCATGATATTCGGCTTCAAATACTGACTGCGACCAAATAATCATTTTCCACATTTCGTTTGGAACCCGTGGTGGAGGTGATCGGCAATTCGAGCTTTTGCGAATCCGCCAAAGCGTTTGTTTGAGATCAGGTTCTCCGAGAACGTGGCTGGAATAGTCGACATGAATGATGTCGTCGTGATCGTCGAAGACCTCCTGTCGGACTTGAGAGATGGGAAGTCGAATGCAATTCCATCCACCTTGAGATCCAGCCTGTGAAAGCTGAGAGAACCATTATTCTTCAGATCGTCGTCGTAGAGATGCTTTGTGGTAGTTGCGTAGACGTCTGCCGATACGCTTGCGAGTCAGGAGGCGAGCGAGGTGCCATGTTTCAGCGAGCCGTCGTCCTCGCCAGGCGTCTTGTAAGTCGAGTCGGCGTTGTTCGTCGAGGGTTTTTGCGCGTGCTGCCTGACATGGACGAATGAGACGATTAACTTTGACTCACCGCACGAGATTGTGACAATGTTGCAATGAGTATAAAAGAACACCATGTGTAGAATATTGTATTGTATGTAGACATGGAGAGCGTACATCACGTCGACGATGGAGGAGCGCTTGGCGTTCGTGAGAATGCTGTCCAGGTTGTTTGGTTCGCCGTAATATTCCGCAGCGAGAGGAAGTGTACCTGTGTTTTGTCCGACAAGTGCCTGCCATTGTTCGGATGAGTTGTTAGGTAAAAAAGACACGTTCAGGATGATTTCCGACATGGAATTGATGGTAGTCAAGACCAGAATTTGTATCATATGGATCAGATTCATGAACTCGTCGCCTGGTACCCTGGATAAGGATAGCGCTGGACCTGAGAATGCTGCTGAGGTCCTGGAGCCTGTCCTGCTATAGCCCCATGTACGTGCGTGTAAGAAATGAGTGTTCACTGCCTGTATGTCATGTGCGCGAGTAAAGACGAGTGTACGGTAACAGGTATGCCCACTGCAAGGGGTGCGCTGAAATGGGCTAGGATGGAGGAGGAGGAGGAGGAGGAGGAGGAAGAGGAGGAAGAGGAGGAAGAGGAGGAAGAGGAGGAAAAGGAGGAGGAGGACGAGGAGGAGGAGGAGGAGGAGCGAGGAGGAACGAGGAGGAGGAGGAGGAGGAGCGAGGAGGAGCGAGGATGAGGAGGAGGAAGAGGAGGAGGAGGAGGGGTTCTCGTTTTCTTGTTCGTTGTTTTGCTGATCGGGATCGGCGCGGGCCCTTGCACCCCCCACCCTCCCTCGCCCCATGGAGTAGTCCTTGACTGTTTGGACGCATGTTTCGAGCAGGTGGAGCCCCTCCCCCATAGGTCAAGGGAGGAAACAATCACCCGGACCAGACAATTGGCGTTTAGTGAACGGCCTTGGGTGTTTATTGAACAGCCTTGCCCTCTTTGATTCCTCTCGCTTCGCGGGGTGCACGTCCGGACTGCGGAGAGTACGGGCGTTTTGGACGCCTTGGGAGTTTTTTGGGAAGCTTCCGGAGGACCTCTTGGGGGCCTATTGGGGAAGCTTGGGGGGTTATCGGAATCACTTTTTTGGTTCTCTGGCACAGGCGTGACCAGGGGGGGAGGGGGCTGGTCACGACACGATTCGCGCCCGCGGGAGGCGGGGGCGCGTGAAGCTTCGCATGTTGAGTAACTTGAGACCCTCTGGGACGCACGGAGGGAGGAGATGATTCGTGCGCTCCTGGGTCGTGCCCAGGCACGTACAATCTGGGACGCCACGGGGAAAGGATAGGAGCCTCACCCCGACGACGGAAGTGGGTTGAAAAGACCACAGGTTCCGAGAAGGAGCTGTGGTACTGGCAGCACGTGCCCGAGGCGATCATGGTGCAAATTCCCGGGAACACGGCGCCCCGCTTTGGGAATCAGCCCGCGGGCGTCTTCCCCGTGAAGCAGAGGGAGGTGTCCTGGGATCGCAGTCCCGGCTTCAAGGCCATGGTGAAGCGCGCGGGGTTCCCGCTGGTCCCGCACTTCGCCGCCACGGCCCACTGCGTCACCGGCGCCACGCTGCCGCAGGCCATTATCGACCTCCTGGACGCGCGCACGACGCCCCGCGCAGCCAAGGTCCCCACGGGCTACGTGGCCATCAGCCGCACCAGGAGGGCTGACGATCTGATCATCACGCAGCCTTTTTCGCCCATGCTTTTCCGCCAGGGGCATCAGACGGGCCCATGGCTCTTGCACTCCCTGACAGCCGGGGAGATGACGACGGAGCAGGCGGAAGCCGGCTGGGCCAATGCAGAGAAGGAAGCCGCGTCCAGGTCGTCCAAGAAGTTGGTGGACGTCACTTTCCAGTGCGCCGACTGCCACCAGCGGAAGAGAGCGGGCAACTTCCCCGGCAGCGGCATGAGAACGAGCGACCCCGTAGAGCACGCCGTGGCGTTGCTGTGCCAGGGCGCGTGGAGGAGGTGCGCCCTGTGCGCGCAGAAGCGGACCTCTGCTGCGGGCGCGCCCGCCGCGGCTGCAGAGCCATTCGCCGCGAAAGGCCCCCCCCCCCCCCCCCCCCCGCTCCCCCCATCCCCTTTCCCCCCCCCCCCCGCCCCCCTCCCTCTTTCCTCTCCTCCCGCCCCCCCCCCCTCCCCCCCCCCCCCCCCCACCCCCCTCCCCCTCCCCCCCCCCCCCCTTCCCCTTCCCCCCCCCCCCCCCCCCCCCCCCCCCCCCCCCCCCTTATCCTTTTCCCCCCTCCCCCCCCCCCCCCCCCCCCCCCCCCCCTCCCCCGCGAAAGGCAGAGACGTGCTCGTCTGCAATCGCTGCAAGGAGACTAAATCGTTAAAGAACTTCAGACGCAGCGAGGTCAATGACTTGACGGGAAGAGGGGCGCTGGACCTTGCCGTTTGCGTCGCTTGCACCCCTGAGAGGCAGCATTTCAACATTATGTCGGAGGGCCGCCTTTTTAAGTGCCGCATCTGCTCGCAGGAGAA